GCAAGCAAAAGTGAGTAAAAACATACAACCTTGGCTGAATAATAGGCATCAGTTGCTACTGTACTCAGTTTACAAGACTTTGGGTTTATTCCCCAATATCATTTAAAGAACAATTTCTTAAAGCTAAAAAAAATATATATTTTTTTATCCAAAGAAGACGAAGGGTGGGACTGAGGTGGAAATTAAAAGGTTATTCCCCCCACCACCCACAACTCTCACCAACACCAAATGCCACAAGAATAAATCCTTGACAAAAATAATCCCATCGACTTCAGTGAATTTCAAACGGATCAAGTGCGTCAACATGCATATGCTGTGAAAAAGGCAGAGAAAGACAAAAGGGGAAGGGGGCGGCAGGGCATGTTGAGGGGGATCCAGACGGTGGGTGGAGGCCAGTAACAGAACAGATTCCCAGCTGACCACAGCAAGAAGCCGTCAGCTCAAAGGTTAATGCTACATAAATTGATTTGACACACTAATAAAATCTTACAGACAGGGTTACCTCAGGTCACACCGCATGCACTTAGTCTCCTTATCCCATTTACACCACAATACAGCTAATATGTTCAGCCATACACACACACGCACACACCTACACACACACACACACGCGCACGCACGCACACACATATATACAGTCCTGTGGGCCCCCGCTGAGAGTATTATATAACATTACCCCTGACATATCAAGTGATTTCATGCACCTAGAGGCAGGACAATTGAGCCATTTGTTCAGCAGGGCAAAAATAGCCACCCCCCTCTTCAACGCCGTCTACTATTACTAGCATTACTACCACAACTGTGGCGCAGCTTGACTGTGCCCTGCAGCTTAGCTTTACGAGTCCCCATGGTTAAATATTACTTTAATGCCTCTGCAGAAGCTGATGTGGTCGTTAAATCAGGACGATGAAGCCAATCAATTTTTGGGTGGAAACTACTATGAATTAATAACGTTATCCTACTAAGTACCCCCCCCCAAAAAAAAAAAAATTAAAAATTGTGTACCGTACGTTTTAAAAGAAGACAGAATGAAAAAAGATTAACAGAACTTTCTTTTGTTATCACCAAGCTTTTTATGTTCTACTTAAAGGGATGATTAGTATATTTTGTGAAGGGTTTTGTGAAGTCTTTATGGGTTACCAGAGTATATAAACTGGAGGGGGAAAGTTTTCAGAGCGCTCTTTGTTTGGAGAATCGGACTGAAACCCTGTCGGTGGAAGGTGATTTAGCAATTTAAAACTTTCATTGCACCTTAAAGAATGTGCTAAATTCAGAGTTATATTTATTCAGGATCTGACTTCTACAACTGTAGGTTACAGGGTCCGTGGAGCATGTTGAAAACACAGACGGTCTTCAACTAAAAAAACAAACAAAAAAAACAAAGTGTACTGTCAGTAAGCAGCTAATTGGATAGGATTGGATTGGATCATATTGGCTTTCCTGAAAAAAATACATTTAGAAAATTTTGAAACTATGTAGTTAAGGATGATGACTGATCAACTAAAAAGACTGGAAGTACCCTACTTTGTACAACATCTTTAAATAACCTTTTTTGACATCTTTAATCGTTCTTTCTCTTTCTTTTTCATAATTGCAGTGTAAGGCCTGTAAATAACTCTTCCTCCTTTGGCTCTACAATGCAGCAGGAACAAGCACCATCAGCTGACCAAAGTATTTGGAAACCACAACCAGGAAGAAGATACGTGATCTCAACTGCAGCTATTACAATCAGAAGCTTTTCATACTCTGGTTTTGTGAACAAAAAGGAAAGAAAAAAAGGGAATAAGGGAACATTTAAAACAAAGAATTCAAGATTACTTTGTATTTTACTGTGGAGAGGTTATATGAAAGATTTTAGGGATTTTTCCCCATCGGTATGTTAAAAATATTTATATATTTAAAAGGTCTGCAATGGCACAAAATCTACAAGACAACATGGTGTAAAAGTGTAATTAGTTGTTCAAACTATGTTGTTCAGAAAATGGAAATTTTAATAATCAGTCCCAAATGTAGAGTTCACAGACACAGAGCTACAACTACAAAATAACAATTTGCAGAAAATCTGCTGTTTTACTGAAAGTATGCTAAAGACAATGCAGGCTAACTTTCGTTAATGGAACACTTATGTGAAATACATGGATCACACATCATTTGTGTTTTCAGTCAGACTCAATAAATTAAAATATGCACTCAGATGAGGCTCGTTTGGTGAATTAAAAGTACATTTTGGAAATAAAAACCTTTAAACAGGTATTAAACATACTTTTCATTAGGTCCATATTCCTTGATTATAAATATTTTTTTTATTGCTGTAATGTTCTACTTATCATATTAAATGTATTTATTCCAATGTAATATTCTAATTCTAAATGTTGGTTTTCGTTGGCAGCAAACATAAAATCATCATAACTAACAAAAACTTGAATTGGGTTATTGAAACAAATGAACTAAACATTTTATTTCACTCTTCAATAATATTCAAATTCATGAAATATGACCACATGTTTCTAAAAAAGAAAAAGGAAACGGACTACAGCATTTCAAATTTCACCATGTCTGGCACTTAAGTTTTAGCAAAGGCATCTGAAAAACTTTGCATCAATTAAACAGACCTTTGCTTCTTTTGCAGGCATGGAAAAAATAAAGATCAGCTTTCCTTCAGAAGAACTAAGACATTGTGGTACAAACAGGATGTTCTCCTGGTAATCTGAAAGTATTTGGATGAAGTCTGTAAGGCTAGAACAGTTCTCTAAGCCTTCACAATTAGTAAAATGGTGGTTTCTAATGTTGAACACGTCTAGACTCACTGCTTCCACATTCAACTGCTTACAGCCACAAGCGTCTAAAACCTCACAGGTAGATGTGACTGTGCGTTTTTGTTAACGTAGAAAAGAGAAATAAATATTTTAAAAAACAAGACAAAGGCAAAAAGGTCCCTGTGTCCGTTGCCCTGGATGGACAACATACATGTAACCAGACTCTACAGCCACAGCCATGACCTCACCAGGTTTTTCCACAGAAACACACACACACATGCACACACATGCATACACACAGACACGCACCCACACGCACACGCACACACACACACGCACACACACACAAGACATCATCCTGGGTTAGAGTACAGTCAGCGGAGCCTGGCACAGTGAGAGCCAGTTTCAATTCAGGGACATGTATTGTAATCCTACACAGTGTGATCACACAGGCGTGCTTCACAGAAAAGAAAACTAATCTAAAGTAAAAGGCAGGGACACAAAGAAATAACCGGGTGACTCGTTTCTTAATGGGTGGAGCCTTGGATCAAATTTTTGATCCGCTGATCTGAGGTGAAGTGAAAAAAAGTGAAGTCAACTCCATTCTGAGTTGCTGCGCTGCCTCTAGAATCCCTAAGTTAGAGGAGGAAGCATGGAGGAAATATTTGCCATGGGGAAACAGAGGAGCTGCTGACATGGCAGGAAAATTTGATGGTTATCATCTTTGTATCATATTCTGTTGTAGAACTGGGTGTCTCTTGAGATAAGAGATATCACAGGTTCACACCACGTGTCACACCAGTGGGAAGTCCTGAATTGTTCAATGTCTAACATCCAGAAGCTAAAAAAGGGAGAACAGCTTTGTATGAAATCCTGTAGGAAAATGGCTCATAATCTTTTTCTAAGTAAGACCATTTTAGGAAACACTAAAGTTTCTAAGTGCTACCATACTGACATTTGGAAACAACAGGATTTGAGCCTTTGGTGCTAGATGTCTATTTGAAGAGATCAATTTCCAAGTTACAATTTTAAAACTAAATTTCTCTCCAACCCTAGACTCAAAATCCAATATGACTGCTATGTGTTTAAAACAAGGTGAGAGCTTAAGTGATAACAATTTATTTGCACTTTTTGTATCCTTTTAAACCTACTAACATCTTCTGACTGAAAGTGTTTCTTTATTGTTTAAATGAATAAAATACAAAGAAAAACAATGCAGTTTACTTTTAATGCACATGGTAATTAGTTTATCACTTAGCATATCAATAGCATGTTTACCCAACTTTAAAATTAAAAGACAGTGAAACTATCTTAATTGTAATTCTCAGATCAATGTTTCCCCTGACTAAGGGGTCACTTGTTCTTGGGGGTGTTTTCTGGTGGTGAAGGTTAGGGTTGGTTTTATGCTTTATCACAGGAACATTTTCAGGATTTATTTGTGCACAGACAACTTAACACAATAATAAATCTGAAGTAAGAAAACCTGGAAAAAAACTTAAAAATTGTAAAGATGCATTGCACATGTCCACCAAAACAATTAAAACTCAACATTTTAAACTAAAAGCAGGTTTGATCATATCTTAAATATAACTTTCACACCTACGTTTTTAAGTGTCTTAGACTTGAACAACATGACCTGTGGAAAAAACCCACACATCAACCAAAAAGACAGAAGATCCTACTTAGCAAACTGCATCTTTCTAACTAGGCCAACACCTGTTCTGTGCTTTTTACAGCACAACTTACAGAAGCACGAAGCTTAGATCATGTTGGAAAAACTGCTGTCACCCAAACGATGTAATGCTTGTGTACATGCCTCAAAATAAAAACACTGTTAAAGATGACAAGATGTTGTCCCGAGGGCCTGACTGCAGACTGGCAGCATTTTTCCACATTAAGGTTCCGCCGCTGAGGGCTGTGGCCTACCTTTCATTGGCTTACGGAGAATTTTACCACTCCACGACACAACTACTTATTAGGTTAGAGCAGTGCTTCTCAATTCCAGTCCTCAGGGCCCCCTGCTCTGCATGTTTTAGATGTGTCTCTATTCCAGAACAGCTGATTCAAATGATTGCATAACCATACTGCAGAAGGTTGTTAATCACCCACAGATACAATCCAGGTGTGTGGCAGAAGGGAAACACCTAAAACATGCAGGGCAGGGGGGCGTGAGGACCGGAATTGAGAAACAATGGTTTAGAGTCTGCATTTAGTACATTGTCCTTTAAAGGTTAAAAGTCCAACCTGTCACTGTGGTGAAGTATGGTGTCTTGTTTGTTTCTGCAGTCTTCCCACAGGGCCTGAATCCATCTGAAAATAAAAAAAAGAGAAATAAAGTACGAGAACAGCAGCATCCTTCCTTCAACTCGTTAAAAGCCAAGAAAGTCTGACAAAACGTGATCGTGTAAAGATCTGGCAACACCCCAATATTTCTCATCAAAGTGAAATTTGTCTTTCTAAGCAACATCTAGTTGCTTTTATTATGCAACTTTATCGAAAGCAATCACTATGAGCCCCAGGTGTGACTTGTTGGCTTTCACATGAAGAATGAAAGTAAGCAGTTCTTGAGTAGGTGTTTTGACAAAATTCAATACTAAACACTTCTTGCCCGGCAGATGAACAAAGCTTGCTCACGAGAGGAAGAAGGAAACCTCTGTAATTTTTGAATTGATGAACTCTTAGAGACTAAAGTTAGCACTGGCTTTATAGCTTTCTGTCGCCACAAAACTAAGTGGCTAATTTAGATGTTTAATAAGTCAATACTTGGCTTGAGATGGTTTCCAAACCGCCAAGATTTTCTGTCCTCCAGAGCTATGCATGGTTAAAAGTCTTTTTCATTAAAATGAGAGAAAGTGCCAGAGTGAAGAAAGAGTCCCTCACTTGTTGATTAGCTGGCTAAAATGATACTACACTTTCTCTTTCTAAGAAGGAAAAAACATCAACATGTGTATTTCTAGTAGCCAAAAGCATGGACAGTGATGATATCCACCCTGGTGTCTGATGTCTGTTCAGCAGGATGTACCTGAGCAAATCACCTGACTATGTTAGTAAAAAAAGATTGCTTGTATGAAGAGGCAAATGTTACAATAATGTTAACAATGTTACTTTTTGTTGTTTTCAAAACAACAAAAAGTTACAATATTCTTTTCAAACAAGCACATCAAAACTAAAGAGGCTGATTTTTTTTCTGTATTTTTACTTTATGTCTCAAAATAATAATAAATACATTTTATGGACAAGAAATTGTAAAACTCAATATATAGGAATAATTGCTATATATTGTGTCTTATTTCAAAACACTTTTGTGTTGCTCTGATGTTTTGGTGTGTTAATAAAATAAAAGTGTGGTATTCTTTCTCAATGTTATCATGCAGGATTTCACAGTATTAGCCTGGGCTAATCTGGATTACATTTGATAAACTGTTAGCCTGGTAAAAACCAGACCGTGTTCTACTTCACATTGTTCAGAGGGCCGGGCTCTGGGCTATCCAGAAACAACTGTTTTCTGGATGCGTGGACTGTGTTGACATTTTAAATGTTACTGAATGGCTAGGGTGAGGGTCTGTCCATGACTTATGTAATTAGCCAGTTCAACGTTATGCAGCTTACCGGAATCTGCCTGTACTGTAAACAGCTGTACTCCTTTTCAAAGAGAGAAGGTCGATCTGAACAAGGCGGCTGTTAATGTTAATTCAATATTTTGCAGTGTGACCAACACGGACTGAATGGCTTTGTTCACCTCCTCCGCTGCTATTGTTCAAACTACAGGCAGACTACAATTCTAAAACAGCGTATCTACGCTGTTTTAGAATTCGACGTCATCATTCACAACGTCTTCTGTTTGCTGATTGGCCCAGTAGAAATTCTACTCAAGGAAATCAAAGTGAATAGGAGAAAACCCAGACTGTGCTGTAAATGAGATATGAATCAAGTGGAATAGTGCAGGAAGGCAACGGCCAGGCTAACAAAATGTTGCTCAGAATCTAAAATACTAAGATAGATCAAACCTCACTGGGATAATATTTTAGTAAATGGAAATTTCAACACAGTAGATTTATGAAACTTTTATTATATTTCTAAAAACACACACAGAGAGAGACAAACACACAAAGATAATTTTCAATTATGTTTTTGTAGCATTGTAACTTCTGGTCTCCTGAGCTGAACGTATTGTTACTCCACAACTACAGGTGATCTAGGGTTTGTTTTGCACAGTAGCAGATTCTATAATGGTACGGTATGTGCAGCTGGGCACAGTGAACTGCTCTTGCGATGCACAGTTCTGATATTTGGCCCAGATCTGGATGAAAACCACATACGAATCCTATAAAATGAGCGCACACTGCACCTGCATCTCTGAAACGCTAAGATCCTCCCTGTTGGACGAGTTGCTGCAGGGCTAAACTGACTGTCTGAAACAAACTTCAAACCGGAAAAAGACTTAAGATAATGATGTAAAGGCAAATAGCTAGGTTCGAAGTTTATTTATATGTCTTTTTCATACATAAAGGAAAGCAAAAGTTCTAGCATATCCTCAGTGACTTATGCTGTCTCAAAGGCACTTTTGCGTAAAAGTACCTTTTTTCTGTCACTGTTTAAACTCTGCTACTATTTGCATAATCCCCATTGGGAATCTTACCGTAGTAAAGGGATAGAGTGACCTGTGTACGAAGTTGAAACAAAAGCAACATGTTGCATTACCTTGAGAGGGTAGAGAGCTCAGAAAAAACAGCTGATTAGTGGAAATCGTTGCGCTTCGCCGTGCGCTCATAAACAATAAAAGCAAAGAAAAAAAAGAAGAAAAAAACCCAGCGGAGGCAGCAACAAAACCTCATCTACTTTTACAGGCACAACAGCAGACCTTTGACACTCTAAAAACAAAGTTCTCATCAGAGCGTTAAACCGGAGTTGCCTCCTCCTACCTTGTGCGTAAGAAAGCAGAAACAAGCCACTTGATGGAAGTCCACACACTATGGAAATAATCCTGTACAAATATCGAGTCAGTTGTAGAGCCGAAACGCAAGTCCGTTTACATCCGGGGGAAGCGTTAGGAATCTAAGGCGAAGTGATGGAGAGATCAGCTGGTGTCGGTGGAGTCGGCAGCATAAGAGGAACTGAAAGGGGGTCTTAACTGAGACAAGTTGCGTAGAATAAAGTCCGGCCCCTCCAGGGCTGCTCCCTCCCCTCCTTTCCTCCTCCCCTCCCCTGCGCAGCGCGGCGCTCTCCTGCTGACAGAAATAGCAGGCGAGGCGGGCCCCACCAAAAATAGCCTCGACTTCACTCACAGGACTTTAAAGACTATTGTTTTCCCCTGCGCGCACATATGGGCCCCGAACGGTGCGCTGAGAGACTGGACTACACGGCACTTCTGTGCTCACAGACTGTGAGGTGGGACTTTAGTGACCCCTAACCCTGTGGCTCCATCTGCTGACGAAAACTTTTAAATATCTTCTTTAAATGCCCACCAGAAAGTTGGGGACTCCTTCGAGTCTTAGGGTGGCGCACCGAAGACAAAAGCAAGAAAATATGTTTTCCGATGTCAAAATTTGATATTTGGGTCCAATCAATGTTCAGAAACAAACAAAAAACGCCCTAATAGTTAATGTTTTCTAGAAACAACAGAATCCCCAAAATATTTTTACTCCTGGCAGGTTTAAATCTCTTTGGGTGTCGCCATGGCACCCCGGTTAAATCCAAGTTCATTTTGATCATAAATGTTGGGTGATGAACTTTCTGGTTAAAAAATCTCCTTGCTCTCACCCTAATGTTTAGCTCCTTCCACCGATTCTCTATCAGATTCATGTCAAAACTTATGCAATGGGTCACCCCAATATATTAATATAGATAAATTCAAAATAATACCCTATGTTACCCTAAATCTAACAAGTGTATGAATAATTTTTGGCTTGTTTACCAAAATCAGCTGATTTGATGTTAGAACAAAGTCACTTTTGGCTCCATTAAAATTTAGTATTTTAAAACACAGCAACTCTCCAAATTTCTAAGCCAAAGCTCAAAAAGAGACAGAATGTTAGAAAGCATATTTAATACAAAAAGACAAAAGTAACTAAACTTTTAAAACATGTTTTGCATATTAGATAATATATAGATATTTTTCTCTGATTATGCCTCAGATATAAAAATGTTTACACTACTGTTTGCTGAAATATTACTTTACAGTATTTTATTAAACTAATTCATTTGTTTTATTCTATATAATTGTCAAAAACTACAAACAAAAAACTGAACAAGCGTCTGTGGTCGCAAAAGATGCATTAGGTAAAAAAAGAAATTCTTTGTAAAATAGACTCATAAAGGTCTGCAAATAACTTCTCAGGAAACACATATTTAACCTCATTTGGCTTCCTTTTATATTTTTGACTTCCTGCCAGTAATGACTGTAGCTCCGAGCTTTAATCAAAAATGGGTCAAAATTGTAGATTATTATAGAAGATAAAAAAACATACACCGGATTCTCGCGCTCAATATTGTAACTTAATTTTAAAGTTATAGAAGAAGGTCAATTTGAATTGCATTTTATTTTTCAATGATACAACATGTATAATAGAGCAATTAAATATTGCTTTATTATTGCTTTTCTTTTTAATGTGATTTGGACTTCGAGTCTGCAATAATATATATATATATATATATATATATATATATATATATATATATATATATATTTCACTTTACAACCACTGAATTCTATTAAATTGTAATATGATTATAGAAGAATGTGACTTTATATCTTGGTGTGGGTTGCATTCATTTCAATTGCATAAGATTGGATAAAATCTTGATGTTAATAAATTGAATTAATTTGTTTTTTTGAATCTGTGTATCAAAAAATATATAGACATAAGTAAAACATTGATTGCTATAACTGAAATAATCAATGTTACACCATATTTCAGCAGCTGTAGGAATAATTGTTGTTTGTTTTAAATATTAGCATAGTTAAATTGCATAATCTGATACATGTTTGACTATGTACTGTGAAGTCATGAGCTTTTCACTCCTGCTCATATTCCATCAGAATCTCTGGTTTATGCTTATGACTGAGTTGCAATTATTTTTTATGAATCGTCACCAATAGCAGATGCAGAAAGGTGAAGCAAAAGGTCTTCCAATCTACAAGAGGACTGAACTTCTGTATTCTATTTATGCCATATTCATTCATTCACACACCAAAATGCTGCTTGCCCAAAGACAAGCAATCTTTTTCTTTTCTCAATTATGGCTCCATAATTTCTCAAAACTTAACAAAACATGCAGCATTGCATTGTTTAGGGTTAAAACTGTACCTAATTTGCACATGTGGTCAGATTAAAGCGTAATCTGTAAAGTACTGAAGTTAATAGAGGGTTGTGGTGAAACTAAACCCACCAGCAACTCTGGTCCAACTCTGCTGGACGGATGATCTGTGGAGAAAAACATAATGAAGGTTTGTAAGAACCACTGTAAAAGAAATGTCCAACAACGTCACAAGTTGGGTCTCTGTAAATGTATTAAAGCCAATAATACAGTTGGCTTGTATTATTCGCTTTCACTGACATTGAAAGCGAATGACAGTAAAGATTTGCTAATATAATAATAATAACGACAACGACGATGATGATGATACTGATAATAAGGTTAAAATTAGCTGACAATGTAATTACAGTACAAGCAGGACCGGGGCGCCGCCAGAAATCTTGGGCCCCCTGACAAAAAGTTTAATTGGGCCCCCCTGCGCAGCTGCTGTTACAATTTTTTTTTAGTATATTT